CACCCAGCATTCACTCTTTTCTTTGTTTCAGTTTGGGGAACTTCTTTCAACCTATGTTCAATTTTTTTTTCTTAGCTATGGCAAATCAACCCGCGTACCTTTTTCTGCAGACATGCTCCCACTATGTAGCTCAAGCTGGCCTTGAAATCAAGAGTGATCCTCCTGCCTCAGCCTCCTGCATGTTGGGATGGCAGGCATGTGCCCCTATGCTCAGTGCCTTCCATTTATGTTTTTTATGCATTTAGTACAGGGGATACAGGGTCTACAGGGTCTCACTACGGAGATCAGACTCATAGTGAGTCTCCTGTTTTCAGCCTCCCGAGCAGTGGGATTACACACGTGCGCCACCGCGCCCAGTCTCAGTGGCTGTCTCAGTGCTTCCCGGAGGCGGGGCGGGCACAGCATCCCAGGGATGAACCTGGCCATTGTGTTCTGCCTGTGCAGGCCCTTTAGTCCTCTGAGCTATCAGGCTGGCCCTCCAGTGCCTTTTAAAAGCATTCATTACCTCTGCCATGTTCCACTAACATTTCCAAACTGTTCTCTTCTCTGTTGAAATTGTCATCTATTTGTGCACGCCTACATGGTCACTGGCGCCCTAAACATACAAATCACACTTCTTTTCAACTCCTCCTGTGCTAGTTTTAACATCTGAGCCAGATAGGATTCTGGTTCCACTGGTTGTTTTGATCCGACAGTGCGCCTTTCATCTGCTTTCCGTTTCAGATGGCTCTCAGTTTGGCTGAGAGCTGGGCACCATTTCTCGGGCTGCCTCCACTGGGCTCCTACTGAGGGCCGATGAGCTCATTTAGTGAGTGGGCCTGGGTTTCCTCGGGCTACTATTGCTACCCTCAGGGCTCTCCCCCTTCACCTTTCCCTAACTTTACTTGTATTTAGGTGGGAGAGTTACTGGGCCGAAGAGTTTTTCTCAAAACCTGCCCCACCTTCAGTTTTGGGCCACAGTGTGTCTGATGGCACAGTTGTGCCTGGTGTCCTGTTGTCCCAACCCAGCTTCTGGCCCAGGCATGGGCAGGGATCACGCCCACCCCAGCCACAGGAGCACAGCCTCAGGACTGTCCTGTCCCACAACCGCCCAGAGCGCTGTCCTCACCTTACCCACCAGGTGACAGGACTAGGTGTCACTCTGCAGTGGTCTGAGGGTTCTGTCATACTAGGGACAATCAAGGCAGATCTAGCCTGGGGGTAGGGGTGCGCCCCTCCTCTGGGCCTGTAGGCCAGGAAGGCTTTCTCCTTCTTTCCTGTAGCACCCAGTGAACACCAGTGACATCAGGGTGGGCACAAAGTCTCCTGTTCCTGGGGGGTTCTGCCACCTCACCTTGCCTGTGTGTTGCGGATTCGGTGCTCTATCTGCCCGGGTGGCACGGCCCCATGCTCTCTTGCTGGGCCTCTGGAGCTCTGCCTTGTCTCAGATGTCCAGCTAAGTTGGTCCCCATGATTGGCACTGCCTGGTGGGGTCAGGAAAAGTTAGGTCCCATGGCTTATCGCACTTTGACTGTCTCTGTAGGATTTCTACTTGTCTTTCAAAGTTCTTAGTCTACTCGTACTGGTAATTGAACCCAGGGTCTTCCCAGTAAGTTAATCCGAAGCCCATTTTTAAATTTTTTTATTTCAAGACTGCGTATGGCCAAGCCAGTTAGCTGCCCCAGTTGGGCCTGAATTTGCCTTCCTCCAGCCTCGCCCTCCCGGAGTGACAGAATTAGAGGCGTGCTCCTAGAATGATCTTTTAAAAGTGACCTAGATGAGCTGTGAAAGGCTCAAGTCAACAACTTCTGCAGATAACCCACTACTATTGTGGACTGCTGGATTGTGTTGGATTGTTTTGCTGAATTCAGGCACCTGAATAGTATTTAGATGCCAGTGGAATACCCACCTCTGACAGGACTACACAAAAAAAGGGGATACAAAGGAAAGATCATTTTGTATTTGTATATACAAAAGTTAGGATAGATCTACAGCTACTTTTGCTTAATTCAATGAGAAGAAAGAGGTGTACCAACAGTCTTTGGACAGGAAATCCCGTCTGCTTCCTGTACTATGGATAACCACCAAGAAGATAACAATGCACAATGTATTATTGAAACTGTCCTATTAATCTGCTTTGAAACTGTCTCACTGATAGCTGTTTCTCAATAAGATAAAAAATAAATAAATAAAAATAAAAGTGATCTGGAATGCTCGGGTACCGCGTTCAGCATCTGAACTGGAGGACGAGGCCCTCGCGGCTGGCGACAGAGCCATGACAATTCCGGGGCAATCCCTCCGACCATGTCGCCCGCCCCGCTCCCCGCCCGGAGGATCTCGGGGTCCTCGGGTCTCCGCAGAGCCGGGGACACTCCGGGGCTCCCAGCGGCCAGCCAGCCCCTTGACCCTGCCTCCCAAAACTACAACCCCGGCCGCAGCTGGCCAGCAGTACGAACTCACCGCCTCCGCGCGGCGCCGCGCCCCACTGCGCACGCGCGGCCCCGCCCAGTGCCCGCCCACCAGCGGGGTGGGCGGGACTTCCGGCGGCTCCGCCTATGCGGTGTCCTTCCGGTTGCGGCGCCGCGAGACCTGCAGTTACGCTTCCGGGAGAGGAGCGTCGCCTCCGTCCGGCCCCGGGGCGCGCGGGTTCCTTCTTGGTTCTCCGGTGCGTGCGGTCGATGGTGGCGGGGCTCGCTGTCTCCGGCGCCGCGCGTCCCGGCCACCTCTACCCGGCTGTGCGGCCCTGGGAAGCCTCGGCGCGCCCGCGAGCTTCGGGGCGGCCTGCGGCCCCTCTGCAGCCCCGCGCCTCGCCCTCTTCGAACTCGCGGGCTTCTGCGGTCTCCTCCGCACCAGCCACGCCGGGTGGCACGTTTCCCCTGCCGCTGGGGCCTCGGATGCTGCCGCTGCTGCGGCAGCCTCGGAGGGCACGCCCCTCCTTGGGCTTCGCCGTGGGTGAGGGTCCCAGGCTCTGAGCCCTGCACTGCCCCGGCCGCGTGCGCTGGGCCGACGGTGTGGCGACCCTCATCCCCGAGCCCAGGCGTGGTGGTGCTTGCTGCCCTTTCCCAGTGATGTAAGTGTTTAGTTCTGTGGGAGGACACGTGCGCAAGGCTGCAGCCTGCAGGCTCCTCCAGCCTCCTGCCACCGCTTGCAGTGGGGTCCTCTGTACGAGTCCAGGCGGGGAGCAGTGCGCACGCCGAGAGGCGCGACTGTTCTTACAGACCAGAATTTGCCCTTGATCTCACAAGCCGCATTGAACGGAGTGTTGCTCAGCTGCATTAGGTTGCAGTCTGGGATTAACTCCCTTGGGCAGCTGGGAAGCAAGATGGGGCATTTTAGTAATACCAAGCCTAGGACCACTCTTAAGAGCTAGGCAGAATTAGGAAGCGGTGTAGGCACGACTTCCGCTGTGTGGCAGTGACATTCTTTACCTCTGTTTGAAGATTGTATATTAAATTCAAGGATTAGGGGCCGGGGAAATGGCTCAGTGGGATAAGCGCTTGACTGGCAAATGCAAGGATCAGAGTTCAATCCCCAGTTCTGCCTAAATAAATAAATAAATTCAAAGATTGCATTTTGTTTTCTGGATCTGCCCCAAGATGGGATATTTTTGATGAAGCCTTTCAAATTTGACCTGGAACTGCTCCCAGATACATGATGGTAATGCCAGAAAGGCTAAAACAGACTTTAGATAAATTGACCGCATGCTACAAGTGCAACATGACAATACTGAAAGGGCAAATCATTGTCTGTGGCAGGACAAAAGTTATAAAAACAGAGCGATCCACATTTACTAGAAGGAATGGGGAGACAGCATAGTGGTATAAGCACCTTACTGGGGAGCACAAGATCCTGAGTTCAATCCCCTTTACCAAAAAAAAATAATAATTAAAAAAACATATATATATATATATATATATATATATATTAGAAAATGTTTATCAAAAACCCAAAAGGAGGGGCTGGGGAGATGGCTCAGTGGAATATGCGCTTCCTTGGCAAGTGTAAGGGCCTGAGTTTAATCCCCGGTTCTGCAAAAAAACAAACAAACAAAAAACACCAAAAGGACTGGAAATATTTCCTAAAATTTTAGACAATTTTTTTTTTCCTAAAAGAAACTCCATGTGACATAAGCAGTAAACTGTTGTTGAGGTACAATCACTCATTAGGCTTTGGATTTGGAAAGTGCAGAAGGCTCATGTGTTAAAGTCTTGGGCTTTGGCGCTTTGGTGCTCAGATGCAGCTTGGGCAGGAGACGGAACAGAAGGACTCCGGTTTCATGAGTGGGTTAAGCCACTGGAGGCCAGTCACTGGACGGGCTACCAGAACGTGGTACAGCTTGGGTGTAGCCTCATAGAAGGGAGGTGCCCTTGGGCGTGGCCCCGAAGGTGTCCGGTACCTTGTCCCAGCTCCCTTCTACCCATCTCCCTCCTCTCCCACGAAGTGAGTCACAGGCTGTGGGCTGAGACCTGGGAAACTGAGTCTACCACTGGGTCACAGAAAACATTTTCCTCTTTAGGTCTTTTTTTTTTTTTTTTTTTTTCCTGAGCTGTCTTGTCACAGAAATAGAAAGCTGCCAAACATAGTAGTGATATTAGAACCAAACTGGGGGCCGGGGAGATGGCTCAGTAGAATAAGCGCTTCTCTGGCAAGCGTAAGGGCTTGAGTTCAATCCCCAGTTTCGCAAAAAAACCCTGCCAGTGTCTGAAGATTGGTGTGTAAGTAATCCTGGAACTAGATTCTCTGAGACTTTCCTGCCTATCAGAGGTCAGGGTGTAATCTTTATTGAAAGACTTCAACAACATAAAGAATGACCTATAGCAATTTTCAAGTTTTAAAAAGTAACTCAGTAATGGGGCCGCGGAAGTAGCTCAGCTGTCTAAGCGCTTATCTAGGCAAGCACAAGGACCAGGCTTTGCTCCCTGGTACCGCATCCTGTGCTGCTCCACCCTGGGAATGCTGACTCTGCCACTGAGACTGGGCATGGGGCACGCCTGTAATCCCAGCACTGGGAAGGCTGAAAACAGGATCACTACTGAGTCCGGGCTGTGTAGTGAGACCCTGTACCAAACGCATAAAATTTAAAATAAACCCTTAGGATTAAAAAATGTAAAGAAAAGGGTGAACACTATTGTAAGAAATGGTGCTAACCAAATACTGTAATGATAACACAATGAAAGAGAGGTAGTATTTTCTGTAATCCTGGTGCTCTTTCCCAGACACCTGGGCAACGTTTAGCCGTGATACTGAAGTTCATGGTTCAATTCTGAGTCTAACGCTGATTAAGAGTCTGATTGCTGAGTCTGGGAGAATGTCCGGGTGCAGCACCCAGAGGTGCATGTGTCTCGGCCTCACCTGCCAGTGGTCTTCTCCCCCTCCCTCCGTGGCCAGCGTCACCACCAGGGGCTCAGTGGCTGAGGGTGTCTGGTGGGGCCGCAGCCAGCCTCTCTTCAGTAAGGAGCGGTAGTTTGGGCCCACTTTGCCCCCTTCACTCAGTCTGCTCAGGTAGCAGGTGGCTAAGAGAGGCCTAAGGAACGTGGGCTCCAGGGAGGACAGTGGGCCACCGGGACCAGCCACCCCACGGTCTCCCTGTCAGGAAGTGACAGCATTCAGAGCTGCCCCCTGACACTTGTGCTGGCTTTGGGCGAATCCCCATCTTCCCATCTTCCTTGTCCTCTCTGGAGGGAAGGAAGACAGTGGGCACACGCAGCCACGAGTGTGGACGCTTCAGCCATTCCACTACCGCTTGGGACAGGGCACCAGTGTGGGCACAGAACAGCGCCCAGCTGACTCAGCTGCCCCCCATTTCTGGTCCTAACTTTGGGGGTGGCTACCACGTGTCCATTTTGCTCCTGATGTTGAAATCACCTGCGAGGCTTACAGAAGAAATTTCACATTTAATTGTGATAAAATGTACGGTGCTGTCTACATACTGACTATGCTTCTGAGTGAAAACAGGACAGCTGGTAGCCCTTGGTGCTCTCACTGAGCCGCCTTTTCCGATTTGGAAATAATCCACCACGCCATGCTCAAGCAAACGCCCGAATCCTGGCATTGCGCACATTGCTATATTCAGTACGAACAGCACGCACTGTATTTCAATGAGAACCCATCCACACCCCTTTGTTAATAAAAGGCAGCTCTCATAGAAATGCTACAAAAGTTTGCATGAACTGTGGAAGCTTCAAGGAGTACTGGGAAGCCCAGCCTTCTGATCCCTGCATTCCCAAGCTCAAGAGCAAGTTCTGGTGCTCCCCACAGGGTCCCTGGTGCTGACCCACCAGGCACTGGGGAGGGGAGGCTCCTTGCCATGGCCTGCAAGGGGGAGGGGTGCTCAGGGAGGCTGAAGCCATCGGCTTGCAGGCAGCTACCACTCTGCGTGGGCAGGTCCAAGTGGGGCCTGGTTAGCTCCTTCCCTCAGAATCAGTGGTTCTAATTCCTCCATGCTGCTGCAGGCTGCTAAGAGGCAAGTGCTGCCCCCAAACCAGGACTCTTGCATTCCTATCTAGAAGTCAGTCCAGGAACCCCATAGTGTGTGTTCAGGGACTCTTGGGTGTGGTTCTTGAATTCACCACTGATCAAACAACAAGGTAAACCATTTTTTTCCCATTAATGTTTCGGGTCTTCAGCCCCAGATGCCGGCAGCTGTTCTTCTCTGGCTGCCCATACAGCATGTCAATGAAGAACTCAGGCTCATCTCTGGCCCTAGGGTCGGGGGTCAGAAAGCTAAAGACCTTTCTGAGCTTGTGATACAGGTAGGACATGACTTCCACCTCGTCTGAGGGCTCTTCGTACACGGGCTGCTTCATGTCCTCATAAGCAGACAAGATCATGGCCTGAAACAAGTTGATCAAGAGGCAGACCATCACCAGCAGGAAAGAGGAGAGGAACAGGCCCCCAAGAGCCCTGTTATTGGAAAACTTGGTGTTCTGAAAAGCTGAGACACAGTAGGAAAATATTGTCTGTGCGGCATGGATCAAGTTACTGTAGTTCCACTCATGTTGGCCGAATACCAGGTAACCAAAGGCCATGTACACAAAGAAGTACATAGACACCACCACAGCCATGTGACAGATGCCGGGAAGGGCGGCCTGGATCACCCTCTGGGCCAGCCGCACGTCATAAAAGAATCTGGAGTACCGGAGGGTCTTTAAGATGGTCAGAAATAATAGGAAAGCCAGAATTATCCTCATGGCGTGATCTACTTGGGAAACCGCATGGAAGGGAATGAAGTCATGAGGGCTAGACAAGTAAAACTGGATCATAGCAGTGGCCAAGAAATACTTTCGGAAGAAGAGTATGACCAGTACCGTAAATATACATTTTAAAGCAAAGTTGAGCAGGTTGTAGATGCTTTTCACGTAGGAGGCTCGCTCTTGCGTGATGACGTAACCTTCATCGACAACGTAGGCTAAGAAGAAGATGAGAACGGCCGCGTACAGGTAGATTTCTGCCGATGATTTGCTGTGGAGCTCAGCAAGTGAGAAGGAGTGTGTGGAGATGCTGGCATTGACGACTCCTAACTGAGAAACCTCAAATAGGACGGAGACGCTGCAGAACAGACTGATATCTGGATTGAAGGTGGTTAGTTCCAGGATCACAGCCCAGGTCTTATCATCGAGCCAATTGCCTGCCTGCAGTTCTCTGAGCCTCAACGTGGAATTAAGCTGCTGCTGTTCTGGGAAGAAATAGAATACGTATCCTCCGGATCCATAGGTGTTTAGCACTCCGTAGGAATAATACACCCACGTCTTTCCCTGAGGTTTGTAAGTGAACCCATCAGTGTTCCTGTCCGTAGCCTGCTTATTCACTTCACTCCAAAACCTAGAGTAGTTCCTTGTGTCCTCTGCGTCGGTGCCATACTCAGGATGACAGTGGATTTCTCCCGCCATGCTGTTCTGCCTGAAACTTTTAGCAAGTGGACATGTTTTCATGGTGGGTTTTGCTCTCACTTGTCTCATGCGTGGAAGCCCCAAGATCTTGGAGGAGCTGTCAGGAAGGAAGGTTGGGGCCCGGTAGTTGTGGAGCAGAGGCAGGAGTGCGAGGTGGAGCCACCTGTAGATGTCCTCTGGCTTCGTCACGGCAGCGAGGTCCGCAGAGAAGCAGTCCAGGATGAACTGGTTATAGTAGAAGCTGTCGGTGTGACGCAGCAGGACGACGAGGAGCAACAGAAGGGCCAGGAAGATGCCGTGGGTCACGATGTAGCTCAGGAACAAGACAGCTCTTCTCCTGATCCTCTTCCTCCTCCTGAATATCTGCACTTCGTCTTCCGTGAGGGGCTGGTACACCCTCGAGCCGCGCAGGTGGGCAGTGCGCTCCTGGAGCTTCTGCACGTCACCCGGACGCACCCTCGTGCCCTGCAGCTTGATCTCAACATGCTGATGCTCAGTGCTCCACGCCAGGTCTTTACAGTACGTGGGCTTCATTGTCCTGATGCCTGACCAGAGTACAAGCTTAAGCGGCTGCACCAGGAAAACTGACTGGCAGAAGGAGCAAAAGGATGCAAAGAGCCATTCGACAGACTTGTCGTAGCTGTATGTCAGGCCGTAAAATATGATAAAGAACGAGGACACGGTACAAGTGGTGAGCACAAGGAACCATGCTACATAGACACACCACCGAGGCAGAGCGAGCCAGGACTGCGTCTGATGGCGGCTAGCATCCTGTTGGGAAGAGGGCTCTCCACAAGGGGTGTCTGTGTTTCTGTTATGGACGTCTGCACTGGCCTCTGCTTTCTCATGCTGGTGCTCTGTCTCAGAGGCCACCTGAAGGGAAGCCTTTGGCCATCCGGATGAAATCTTTAAGGTGGGCTTCAGGGCTTCTCTGGTGCACCCCTTGGTGGCCTTGGCTGCATACCACCTGCACAAGCGATCCTCCCAGCATCCACTGCCTTCCAGTGTCAGAGGCTGCCTTTGAGGAACCACCACATGAAGATCCGCTCGGGGTTTCCTCTGGGAGTGGGTGAAGAAAAAAGTTATTAACATTTGCACCAGGATCGTGATGAAGACGCTTTCAATTCCAATCGTCATTGATGTCATGTAGCGCCCCTCTCGTGACGCAGCCTGCCGGTGCCTGTTCAGGTTAAAGAACACGCTATTACAAAACAGAGAGCTGAGCAGCATTGCCAAGCAACAGGACAATCTTTGGAGTCTGCTGAATGGCTTGGCAACAAAACCAGTGAAAACCGAGAACCACACGTGGTGAGTCCTGAGCTTGTAAGTCAGGTCGATGAGGAAGAAGTCTTTTCTTTTGACAGGCTCATCTGGACGCAAAGCACGAAACGTCCTTTCCAAAGTGGTGTCAACAGAGAGCCACTTCTGACACATGAACAGCCAAACGTGCCCGCTGAACAGATTCTCCACCTTGATTCGGCTCAAATGCCAGCTAGGCGCCTTGCCCTGATTGTTGTGCCACACTCGAATGGAACGGATGTCCCCTAAGTCACTTTTTGTCGTCAGAAGAAAAGCACTGATGCTTCCTCGGAGGAGTTTTCTAACGTGTGGGTGGCTTAAGCAATGCGCGTGGCTGGCGCCCTCCGTGCCCCTTAGCTGGACAAAGACGTCGGCCGTGGTTCCAGCCCCACAACGACTTCCCGTAAAGACAGTGACCAGGTAGCACACATTATCATAGGGATCGTTATCAGGCAGGATAACCACATGGTCCCGAAGAAATTGGTCCACCTTGCTCCTGTGTAAGGCCCAGGAAGCTAGACCTGTGTAGACGAGCATGATGGAAAGCACAGCGAGGAGGGTCACGGGGTTGTACTGACCATCCGGGGTGACCATCAGCGGCAGATCCACAGGGTTAGGGATCGAGGTCACCTTGGCCATCACATAGCGCATATGCAGGGGAACGTGAATTGGAGCCCTCAGCTGCCGCCTGATCCTCCCTCTGTCCCTACAGGTACAATGCACAGTGTCCCAGGTGGTCTTCTCGCCCAACATGCAAGCGTCTTCTCTCCACTCAGTCTGGGTCCTGGACATGGCCACGCAGCGGGCACTGAAGACATAAATTCTCACTAGCTTGTTGGGGGGCTCCAACACAAAGCTTGGGGCCTGTAGGACCACAGATATGTTATACTTGGGCGAGTGGCTGTGCTGAGCCATGACCTGTAGCAGGGACAGGGGCAGGCAGACCACTCGAGCCCTCCTGACTGCGCAGGCTGGGTCGAACAGGCCTCTGTGGATGGCAAGTGGAGGGCTGTCATGGGGCACCAGGAAGGTGGCCATCAGATCAGTGGGGGTGACGTGACGGCCCACATACACCAGCACCGTCAGCAGCACTGTCCCTTCTAGCACGATATGGACCAGTACCTCCCCAACTCCTCTGCTGTCCACCTCAAAGCTAAACCCCCCTGTTGTCATCTTTGAGGACTCAGGGACCTTGCAGTCAAGTCCCACTGTGAGATTAAAAGTCGCATGGGTCAAGTTTTTTCTGGTGAGGTACACTTCCACTATGTCAGGTGTGATCTCTACCATACTCCCGTTGTCTGTGACCCCCGTAATCCTGAACCCCTCCACTTCTGTTGAAATGCTTTCTGGGTAACTTATCCAAGGAAATGGGTCATGAGTGAACTCACAGAGCACCACAGAAACTGGAGCATTTGTGGCCAGGCCAGGAACCCTGCTTGCATTTAGTACTGCTCGGAACCAGTTTCGGCCCTGTTTGTCTTTTCTGAAGGCCCAGGCGACATCCCACTTTGCAACCGTCTCCACATACATGTTAAGGCCAGGAGCCCTCAGCACGGTGGCTGCACTCCCTGGCACTTGATGAGCGAATACTGCGTCTGATAGAGATTCCACTACATAGAAAGGGTCTTCGAACACTTTGTGAGGAGTAGCCAGCGTAAGCATGTTAGCCAGGCTCATTAATATCCCAGCACTCACTGTTTCTATTTGTCCGGAGCTAACGTGTTCGTGTTCCCGTTGATACGTTTGCAGGGCCCGGCTTGCCTGCCATAGCCTCTCTGTGGCACGTTTCTGAGCGACTCGCGTGACTTCGGAGGCCTCCTGTGTTGTTCCGGCAACGGCTCTCACTGCCTGGCCCACTTCCTGCAGAGTCCGTAGCAGAAGCGTGAAGGACCGGCTGCTCAGCCGCCCTTGCAGGTGGGCTCTGTCTTCACTGAGACTTTGCTCAGCTCCCAGGCTCTTCGACACGGAAGCCACCACGCTCATTAAGCACCCCGCAAATGAGCAGTCATGCCGTCGAAGCAAGGTCGTCAGCAGTGACGCCGGGCCCCTGGGGAAACTGTGGAGCCTCTGCCACGCGCCCTTTGCACGGCTGCTGTCTGTAGGAGGCCACACAGCGACAGAGAGCCTCACTTGGGAAAAGGCTCCCAGGGAGTCGCAAACCTGAGCAGATATCTGCAAGGCGTAGTGACGTGCGGAGGATCCAACAGGGAGAAAGGCAGGCGGCGTTGCGGCCTGTGGCCCCCGGTACAGGATGGTCCCCGGGGTGTCCTCTTTCACCAAACTGGTGTCACCAGCACTGTCCGAATCAGAAACTGTTATTTTATATGTAAGAGGGACATGCTTGTCCTTAAAATGACTGCATCTCACAACAAATTCAGTTAGCATTGCAATTCCCTTCCCTGGATTTATGTGGCACTGCCCCCCTTGAGGGCCGTGGTTGATGACAAAGGAATGTTGGAATTCCAAGGTCACACCACTCCAACTCTCTAGGAAAACAGAAACCCAAAACGTAGCCTCCAAAAACCTCTGGAAGGCAAAAGCTTTCACGGAGAGGTGGGCGCTGTTCCTGCCTGTTGTGGTTTGCTGGGTCCAATCAAACGGCAGCTCCTCACCCGATGCAGAACGAATGGACCAGGTGTAGATGTCCCACGGGCCACAACTTGTGCAGTTTAAGAACAAGAAGAATCTTTGAGACACAGCTAACACGCGTCCACAGTTTTCAATACAGGAAATATGTGCTGTGGGTGCTGGGCCTCGGAGCACACGGACCCTTTTATCAGAAGACACTGCTTTATGACCCTTCCGTATCACCATTCTGAAATAATACACATGGTCCCCTCTAAGGGTCCCTGGTGGAAGTGTCAGTAGTGGGCCAGAGGCCCATGGCCAGTGCAGACTGGCCTGATCTGGGTGACAGACTTCCTGCTCCGTCCTCCTGACTTGATCGCCAAGGTAGTTTCCTGCATTTATGGTACAGTACCAGGAGAAATGGAGTCCCTCTACCGGGCCGTGGGCATCTGGGTCCAAGGACGAGGCTCCATCCAGAATCAGCTCATCTGTGAAGTTAACTGTGAGGCTGGCATCTCCATGGGGCGGCCCCGGGGGTCTCCAACCGGTTCCGATGGAGATGGAATCTGAGTCTCTCACCAGGAGAGCTTTGGGAGCCTGCAGCGTGCTGATGGCCATTGTGAACTTAAACACGTTCAGGCCCATAGCCAGAGAAGCCCCCTGGTCGCGATGGGTGGAAGGTCGCGCCTGGGCCTGCGGCTGCAGAGCGCGCCGTGGGCGGGGCCAGCCGGTCTGGACGCTGTCCCCGAGGGGGGCTTCTGCCTTCCTGCGCTGGCAGACCATCTTCACCTGCTGGAGGCCACAGGGGTCCGGCTGACAGGGGCCCACAGCGGCTCTTCCGTCGGAAGGGGCGCTGGGTCCCCCTGGGGGACACCCGCTGGCCACTGGGTGCGGGGCAGAGTGGGCTGGGCGCGGCCGGCGGGGCGGGGCCTCGCTGCCGGGGTTTCCGGGGAGGACGTTATCCTCGCGGGCCACGAGGGGCCTCAGGCCAGGATGAGCAGGAGGGATGCGCAGCCGGAGCCCCAGGGTGTCCCTGGAGACCCCTGATGGCCAGGCCAGCTCCCCGCGACAGGTGGAGGCCAAAGGGAAGCAGCTCAGGCCCAGGCCCAGGAGGAGCAGCGTGGGCCCAGGTCGCATGGCGCCCTCCCGGCACGCAGGGTTCGATCACGGGGCTGCCCAACGGTGGGGCGCGGGGTGGGCGCTAGGGGTCAGAGGTCGCTGGAGGGGTGAGGGTGGGGAAGACACTTGGGGAGCTCACAGAGTCACGGGTCCGGAGACCCCTGGGGCATGGGGCTCCCGGCAGTGGGGGTGGTGGATTCTCAGAAGTCACCCTTTCCGCCCTTGTCTGTTCCCGCCCGTCTCTACTCCAGGATCAGGGACTGATGAGTACGGTTAGCTCTCTTCGCTGTCCTCCGCCAGCAACTAGGGTCCTGCGCAGACGCCCACACCCTTGGGCAGAGGATGGGCGTCCTGGGTGACTGTGAGCACCGGGGCCGGGCCAAGTCTGACTCTGCATTTCTTAGGGTTGACTTCTTACGTTTTCTGCAATTTCCCGGCTCCACGCTAAGGACGCATCTCGGGCTAGCGCGGGCCCTTGCTTCGGAGACCGTGAAACTGGAAACTGAAGCCATCAGCACGGACTGACCGGAAATAGGCTTTCACTGGGAAATAAAAGGTAAGCAGTTTGAGCTTGAGGAACTGAAAGCCAGAGACACACAGCTGGGACAAAAGGTAAGCGCCCCTCACAGAGGAAAGAGAGCTGACAGGGCAGGCACTGCCCGAAGGCCGGGGGCACAGAGCTGGTGGAGAGGCATCAGCCTTGGCTGGTTCAAGGCCAGGCATGCCTTCTGGATTTGCTGGACCAGCAAGAGCCTGGTGATCCGGGTCCTCATGTCCACTCCATCTTCGTGCCAGGCTGGGGAGAGGGCCTGCTGTTGCGCGGAGCCAGCCAGCAGTTCATTCTTCCTGTTTCTTTCCTGGGAGCCCTAGTCTTAGGAGGCAGTGCTGGAATTCAAGGTGACCACAGGGTTGGGGTTGTGACCCGAGCCTTCAAGAGTAGCTGAATGTCCCTGTAACTCCCATCTTGGTGCCCTCTGTCTTGAGGGGAGAGGCGGTAGGCTGCCAGTTGAGGGCTCCTCACCTTTGTTTTGCCAACCTTTCAGAGGACTCTGCTGGAATGATTACCACGCCTCTGTGTAGACCTGAGAAGGGATTTGGGCCAAGTGTTAAGTAAACAACCCAACAGTAAGGGCAAGGTTTGTTCTACTTTAATTTCCTGCTGTAGGGCTAGGGAGATAGCTCGGCAGCCTCAGCCCCTGCCTGGCAAGCGCAGGGACCCAAGTTTGATTCCTGGTGCTGCATACCATGCCAGCCACAGAAACTGTGCATGGTGGCATATGCCTATAATCCCAATGCAAGTGAGGCTGAGATGGGAGGATTACTAGAGTCCAAGCTTCGTAGTGAGACCCTGTACAAATAAAAATAAATAAAAGATGAATAATAATAGTAATAATAATGATAATAATAATAATTTCCTGTTATACATTTGCAGGTCCAAGTAAAGAAACACTATTTTGTTTTGTTTGGTTCTACCAAAAATGGCTTTTAAGTAATCCCACCTGTAATCCCAGCACTGGGGAGGCTGAAGCAGGGGGATCATTGCGAGTTCAAGACAGCCTGGGCTACAGAGTAAGCTCAAGGCCAGCCTGAATTGCATAGCAAGATCCTGTTTCAGAAAAAAGGAGGAGGAACAGGAAGAGGAGGAGGGGGGACCTGTGTGGGGGAATTAGCTCCCCGAGGTGAAACTGGGCAGGACCCCTGGGCCTTTCCTCCTCCCTCTGCTCCTTGTCCACCCTGAGGTGAGCGCCCTTCCTGCCCGTGGCCTTCTGCCCGCGGCCTTCTGCCCGCGGCCTTCTGCCCGCCCCTCTAGTTCCACTTTGCGGCCTGCTCAGAAGCTGCAAGCCAGGGACCATGCGATTGTGCCATTCGTTCTGGTCACAGTGATGACAACTGTTCTACTCTCTGGACTCTGGATTACGGCATGGGGAAAGGCAGTGGAGCTGACCACAGCAGGGGCAATGTCCAGGCTGAGTACTCAGGCTGGGGCGAGCGGGTTCTCGCCTTTGTTTTGCCAACCTTTAGACCAACGCTCCCCTCTTGAATAACAAGCCTTTGTGCAGAGTGGAGAGAGGGCATGGGCCAAGCTTTAAGGGAACGAAGGACCGAACGAAGGCAAGGCTTGTCCTGCCCCTAGTTAGCTCTTGGGGGAGAAGGCCACAGGCCCTAGCACCCGCCCTTCCACGTGTAGAGGTCAGGGGAAGGCCAAGCTGGAGAAGGGAGGGCAGGGGTCCTCAGAGCTGTGGGGAGAGTGTCTCAAGGCAGGGAGCAGCCAGCTGTGTGGATGTCACCAAGACCACAGTAGCTAAGGTGATGGCAGAAGTGGCCGCTGTTCTTAGGAACAGAGAGGAAGGGTGTGGAAGAGCCTGGAGACAGGAGAGAGGCCACTGTGAGGGACTCAAAGACAGAGGGCCTTTTTTTTTTTTTCCTGTATTTTTGAGACAAGGTCCTCGCTATGCAGTTTAGGCTGGCCTTGAGCTCACTTTGTAGCCCAGGCTGATCTCGAACTCTCAATGACCCTCTTGCCTCAGCCTTCTGAAGGCTGGGATTACAGGCTCAGAGGGCATTTTAATTGTTTACAAAAGATCCAAGACATACAAGGAGATATTTTCCAAAAGTCCAAGCCACCCAAGGACTCATATGCTGGCCAAAGGATAGAGCAGTCCCCGTGTGGCTGCCTCCTCCCCGGGGGTGCAGAAGGGGGAGCAGCACTGGTCTCAGACATAGACTTATTGCTTTACTGCATGCAGGGACCAATCCCTTAGCAATGGACTGATTTACACACTATTAAACCTTCATCCAGCACTGGTACCGCTCTGATGCTGATCCCTCTTGCTGAGTCATGCAGCCTCAGCTCCTTGCTGGCTCTGCTGCCTGCTGGAGCCTGAGGCCGTGTGCTACACTACTGTCCTACCTGGGGTCCTCAAGGTGGCCTTCTATGTTTTCCTGCTATGGAGAATATAGGTCGGTATCTTTAGACTGGTTTCCTTCAAGAAGTATGCCAAATAAGCAATTTTTTTGGTCTAGTCATATAGCTCAAGCTGGCCTTGAGCTCTAGCCAGCCCAGGCTGGCCTCACACTCATGGCGATCCTGCCTTGACCTCCTCAGCGCTGCGATTGCACACCTAGACCTGTACCATCACGCCAGGGAGATGACCAATTTTAAGAAAAAGAAATGATAGCCCCCTCCCCCATGTCCAGCCCATTCCATTCACCTGGCGAGGCCAGTTCTTTCTGCCCACTTGATATAAAAGTGCTCTGTTCTCCATCAGGTATTTTTTCCAGTAATTAAATGTGCAGGTTCATGTAATAATGGTCCCACTCTCACCTCATCCTCCATTACCTCTCCCACCACCGTCAGGCCCCCGCTTCACCGCTCCCCATGGTGGAAGTGAAAGAGGAGGAGAGAGAACAGAGTGTGATATCACGGGGCTGCCCATGTCGGCAGGGTGGACCACTCCTAGGAGGACACGTTGGCCCTGCTGAGGGGCTCTCCTCAGTGCCCCTCTATTCAGTGGGGTGTCCCCTGACATCCTTCAGGCCACACCCTACAAGCCCACTAAGTTCATTCTCCTTCTAGATGACCCTTCTGGGCGGAGACCTGCTGCCCGCTGGGCCACCCTGAGGGCAGAGGAAACACAGGTACCCTCACTCTGCTCAGCTGCAGGTGCCTGCTGCCGCTCCAGGGCCAGGGGCTCGGGAAGGTCCTGTCCTTCTGGGCAGGGGAAGCCGACCTGGCCCCTCATGATGGTCTCCAGAGACGTTGCTGCCTCTCCAGTCTCTGCTCTGGTGCCCTGAGAAGGTGGTCACAAGGATGAGCTGGTTCCCACAGTTTCTTCTTGCCATCGGGGCCTCTGGTCATGCAGGAGGAAATGTTGGAGATTTGCTCTCTGGAATCTTCGCCATTGACCTCCCCGCTGCTGCCAGTTTCCTTACCAAAGTGATAGATGGTTCTCGTTGGGTGAGGGAAGAGTGGCAGGTGGCAGGCGTGCCAGCTGCCTGCAGAAGTGCTGGGGAACCTGGCAATTACAAGACCCCTGGACAGAGCCAGGACCCCATGGGTACAGTCCTCTCTGTGAGATGTGGAGAACGTAGAGAACACCGGATACTGCATGGATCTTGCTGTCCTGACTCCCATGACAGCCCAGCTGCGTTTCCCAGGTGCAGGGTATACTTTTATTTTTGCTTTTATCTTCCTGCATTCCGTCCAAGTTTGTACTGCAGAGCTGGTTTCTCCCGTGTGCATGCACCCCACAATTTTCAAATAAATGTTTGGCACCAATTTTTGATGTGTCTCACCCAATTCTATGCTGAGCCAAGAAGGACCTGGCATACTTTGACTGGCCAGCCATTTCCAAAGTAACTTCCTGATACCAAGAAGAGGTGGTTCTATCCACTTAATATCGTTAATGTCCAATAATATTGTTTCTATAGTAATGATTTAAAGTGCAGACCCGGTGGTATTAACCACATCCTATGTTTTAGGACCATGACTTCCTCTAGTTACAAAATATTTTCATCACTCCAGAAGAAAATTCCCTACCCACTAGCAGTCACCTATCCTCCCCTCTCCCAGCCCTGGCCAGCAACAACCTCCCTTTTTTCTCTAGGGATTTGCCTATTCTGGCATTCCGTGTGCACAGAACCGCACAGGTGTGACCTCCTGCACCTGGCCCCTGCACCCAGCAGGAGCATGACTGAATCTTCAAGGCATTACTCCCAATAAGGGTGTATCTTTGGAGAAATATCAAGTCAACCTTTCCTAATTTCTCACTGGGCTGTTTGCTATTTTGCAGTTGAGTTGTAAGAATTCATGTTATTCACAAATATTTTCTCTCATTCCATCTTTTTTCTTTCTGGATAGTGTCTGTTGATAAAAAGCTGTTAATGTGACCAAATCTGGTTTAGCTGCTTTGTTGCGGGTGGTGGTTCTTTTGGCAATGTATTAAGAATCTATTGCTAATCCAGGGTCATGAGGATTTATCCTAGGTTTTCTTCTAAGCATGCTCTGCTTTCATTCTTACATAAAGCAGCATTTTCATACAATGTGTGAAAACTATACGTTATGCAAGAACTCCAGGAGCAGTAAAATCTCAGTATTTTAGATAAAGACTGGCTCAGATTGGGCACTTAACAACTGGGGAGTTGGCAGGGCACGATTAACCCCGGGAGCGGCAGGGTGGAACTGGGGAGTTGGCAGGGAGAGATTAACCTGGGGGACAGCTGAGGGAGCAAAGGTGTGGCTGGTAGCTGAGCTCCAGAGCAGTGCAGCCCAGTGGAAGGGAGCAGTGTGTCCCCTGCAAGTCCTTGAACGGGCACTTCAGGGGGTCCAGGACAGCGGGAGTAGGGGGACACGGTGAAGCCAGACTGGGAGATGTCAACCCAAATGTGTTAAGCCCTCGTGGCTTTCCGAGAGGCTTCTTGGACCTCGAAAGTGACCACTGCCCCAGCGCTCCCTGCTTTCCCCCGCAGAGGCGAGAAGGAGGGTGGAAGGACACCCTCGAGCCACCCATTCCTGGGGACTCCCTCAGATGGGAGGCAGGTTTGGGCACCCAGGTCCGCACTAAAGCTGTCGCTCGTCAAGGCCCAGCTTCTCGCGGCGGGGGAACAGGATTCCTGGGGCTGCCTCTGGGGAGCGCGGCGCAGCAGCCAACAGCTGCGCAGCGGAGTAGGGGGCGTGGAGGAGGCGGGGCCGACTCGGGGTCTAGCCAGTAGGAGAGCCCGGGGTTCTTGACACCCCGCCTCCCGAGCCTCCGCGCAGCTTCAAGACCTGGCCAGTCGGGGCCAGAATTTCCAGGAAGTGGCAGAGGTGAGAGGTTGACCGCTCCGAGCCCCTAGCCCTGAGCCCGGTTTCACGGACCATGGCCGCGTCCACGCCGCTTCGCGACTGCCAGGTACTCGACGCCCCCATGGTCGGGTCCCTCTTGGATCCTGGGGATGACCTGCGCCAAGCTGGGGGCGAGGAGTAGATGTGACCTGCAGGCACCCGGGGTTCGGCGGGGTTGCTGTCAGTGAGATTGTCCAGGGGCTGGTGAGATGGCTCAGTGGTCTAAAGCACCTACTTAGAACAAGCTAAACTAAGCAAAGCACAGGGACCGTGGTTCAATCCCCCAGCACCACATGCCAGCCAGCCCCGCCCCCTGGTGGGCTGAGCTGGCCACACACACACAAAATAAATAAATAAATAAATATTAAAAAAAAAAAGAGAGAGAGATTGTCCAGGGGTGAGGGGGCGAGTGAAGCCCTAGTCGCGGAGGGCAGTTTGCACCCTGTGTGGTGGGGTCCCCACCTGGGAGACCCCAGGATCTTGAGAAAGGCTTGCTCCGGGGCAGGGTCTCCTTGAGCCCACTCTGGGTAGAGACCCTGAGTCCATTCTGCAGATGAAGATGTTGTAGGGGTGAGGGGACTTCATGTAGCCACTTGAGGCCTCGCCAAGGGGAAAGGACACTTCCTCTGCTGGGGTCCCTCCCAGAGATTGCACAGGTGGGCACTCTCAGATGGACAAAGTCTGACTGTCCACACAGAGAGCCTTGTACACTGCGCGGCTGGGAGGGATACCATCCCGTTCTGCCTGCCACCAGCCTCCCCTCCTGGTGACCCAGGTGCATACCTGGAGCCATCCCTGGGGTCCCTCTGTGCCCATTTCACAGTGGGGCACCCAGGGTCAGAGCGGGTCTTTCCCGATGTCACACAGCCTTTTAGAAGCTGCTGGGGTTTGGACCTGGTGTCTGTCTGTGACGTCTGAGAGTCCCCGTGTGCCAGGCCAGGTCACATCCTACAGAAGCCCCAGTGAGGCACTGGGGACCTGCGGGGCATGTTGGGGTGGGGGTTGTGTAGTGCGGGGCACTCCGCGGGTCAGGGTCTGGTTTGCCTTTCTTGCTGTAGGCATGGAGGGATGCCAGGCTCCCGCTCTCCACCACCAGCAACGAAGCCTGCAAGCTGTTCGATGCCACCGTGACCCAGGTAGGCCTGCCAGGGATGCCACAGCCCCGCCTGCGAGGCCCACGGTGAGAGCTTTCTAGGTTGCACCATGCCTTTGCCCGTGTGCTGCAGAAAAACCCAGCACTGGGAACCAAGTGGACGCATGCCTGTGATCGCAGCACTCTGGGTGTTGAGACGGGGGGATCGCTGTGAGTTCAGGATCAATTTGGTGGCTACAAAAGTGAGCACAAGCCTGGCCCAAACTGCATAGGGAGACCCTGTCTCAAAAAAAAAAAAAGGAAAAAGAAAAAGAAAAAACAGCGCTCAACGCTGAAGACAAGAATGTGTGGAGACATTGCGCTAGCCATGGCATGGGGAGAGCCCTCTGCAGTGCCCTCTTCCTGGTGTCCTCCTTGAGGAACTCCCCTCAAGGGTTTGATGTGGGTGGACCCCGCCCTGGGGCTCTGGGGTGAATGTGCTCCCAGTGAAGGATCCGTAGCTTCAGAAGTGAGGCCCCAGTTTGGTGACAGGTAGGGAAACAAAGGCACAGACAGCTGAGCTGTCTTGAGTTGAAGGTGAGAGCATCCGGGGCCCCCAGGGAGCCCTTGGGCACCCATGCTAAACAGAGAATGGGTGAAGTGCCATCGGCCGTGCCAGGGCACATCCCTTGTCCCCAGCCTGACCTGGCCGAGGGCTCTGCTACGAGCTTTTGAGCTGTTTGGTGTTTCCCAGCCCGCTTGCCCTTCCTGCGCCTTGCTGGCCTCGGTCGACCACTCCATTTGTCACGGGCCTCCTTCCCAGATCAGCAGCCCCCTCATCCTCCTGGCCTGTGCCTGTTCTGTCCTCATCATCCTTGGCATCTCTGTACCATCCTGGCTTCTTCGAGCACAGGCTCTTTGAATCGTTCTGCCAGCTCCCCTATAGCTTCTGAAAAACTGGGTGCTGATTCTGTGTAGCTGTAGGCTAGACAATGAAAGGGCAAATCTGCAAATCACGTGAGGGACGGGGTAGAGCACCTGTCTGGCATTGCAGAGCCCTAGGTTCCATCCCTTGCACCACAAAAAAATGAAATAAGAAAAAAATCCAATTATTATCAATGGCTTTGTCTTAGTTAATTTTCTTATTCGTGAGATAAATACCCAAAACCCAGAGTTAAAGGAGAACGGGTTTATTTAGCTCGCACTTCATGAAGGTTTCAGTTTATAGTTTGCTGCCTCCTGGGCAGGGTGGCATGGCAGAGGGCAGACAGCTCACAGCAGGCAGAAGGCAGCAAGCAGCAAGTGACCAACAGCAAATGGCAGCCCTCTCCGTCCCTTGTCTCTCACCGAGGCCCTGCACCGTTAATGCAAGCAGCACACGCACCACTCAATCCTAGAGTGCGCTGTGAACCAGCCCAGCTTCACACCCTTGATCCCACGCCCTAGATCCAGCAGCTCCCGTAAGTCCCCACCTATGGCCACGTGAGGCTGCGAGGGGACAAGCCACGACAGGCTTCATGATTAAAAAACAGGCATTTTTCTTAAGCCGTTATCTACTGTTATAGCATAATGACCAAGGGTGAACGATTTGTAAGGCAAAGGTTTGCTGACCCAGCATTCTGCGGTTCAAGAGCATGCCGCCTGCCTCTGCTCGGCCCCGTGGTGGGCGCAGCAGAGAGGCGGGAGCCAAGGTGCCGCCCACTTTTCTTGGGAAAACTGGCCCAGTCCCCTGAAGACCCCATGCCCAATCCTGTCCCTCTGACCGCTAACTTGCAGCTTGAGGTTTGGTTGGGACGAACCGCATTTGCACCCTAGCAGCGTGTAAAAAAGACTGGAGACAGATAAACCAAATTGGTCAGAGGTGGCAATGGAAGGAGAGCAAGTTGTTTTTATGCCTTTGTGTGTATGTGTGTCTCTCTCTCTCCACTACTGGGGGGCCAGGGAGTTAGCTCAGCAGCATAAGCACCTGCCTCACAAGTGCAAGGTCCCGAGTAACACACACACACACACACACACACACACACACGAAATAAAAGCGCAGATAATCTCTACTACTAGGGATTGAACCCAGGGCCTTTGCACTGAGCTCCAGCCCTAGCTCGCTCTCTCTCTCTCTCTCTCTCTCTCTCTCTCTCTCTCTCTCTTTCTTATCTTGAGTTAGTCTCTGTAAGTTGCCTCCGGCTGGACTCTTGTGATTCTCCTGCCTTGGCCTCCCAGAGTGCTGGGAGCATGGGAGTGGGGGAGTGGGGGGTTGGGGGAACAGTGACCAAAGTACTCAGCTTAGCACTTTTAAGTAGAATGAATAAGAAGCAGGGGACCCGGGAGATGGCTCAGTAGAATAAGCACTTGCAGGATCGGGGTGAGTGATGTGAAGTCACCTCTTGGGGCTGATGAAGCAGACTCCTGGCAGGTCACCTGTTGGGAAGAAGCTGCCTTTTAATGTTTCTTTTTTGGAAATGGGTGCACCCCCCGCCCGAGAAAGGGTGCTTCAGGTCGCGTGCATTTAACCTCTTCCTAGATCACCCAAGTCATGCTGTCATGAGTTGGGAACATTCTCAGTGTTGGGAAGAAAAGGATCTGGGCTGGGGAAGAGCTCGCTGGTACGAAATCACATACAGGGCCCTTGCTCGGCTCCCTAGCGCAGAAAAATATAAAAATCTGGACTTAGATTAATGGGATCTCCTGGGGGCAACTCCTTTCTGCCTTTTTTATTTCAGTATGTAAAGTGGGGCAATGACAAGAACCTCGGTGGCATTGAAGGCTGCCTGGCAAAGATCAAAGCGGCAGACCCGAACTTTGGTGAGTGGTTTCCTGGGTAGGGGAGCCCAGCTCAGGCGTCCCGCCTGCTTGTTGTTAGGTTGGAGGCAGGGACCAGGCTGGTGTTGGCCCAGAAGGAGGGACGATGACAGTGACCATTGCATCCCGCAAGGGTGCCAGGGCCTCCAGAGCGCTTTTCGCACTTTTTCTCAAGTTCCTATTGGTTCCACTGAGGACAGTGTTCCATTTCTCAGATGAGGAAGTGGAGGCATGATGAGCAGAAGGTGTGTGCCCATGTCTGTCTGAATCTCAGGCCCTGCCCCTGGAGCATGGAAGATGTCACTGCAGCCCTTGGGGACTAGGGACCTCCCTCAGAGCCAGAGGCTGAAGAGGGGGCAGGACAGTGGGTAACAGAGATGGTCACCAGACTAGCCTGTGTGTGTGGCAGGCCCAGGCAGGCAGCATGGTGCACTCAGACCCCCAGGCGGTGGCCCCAGTGGAGAGTGAGGTTCCCGGTCTGGAAGGAGGACTGGAGTGGGGACAGGCAGCAGGGACCCCTCCTCATGGAAAGGCTAGAAAGGGGAGTGAACAGGGGCGGAGCAAGGGTGCCAGAGCTGGCCTGGAGGCAGCCAGGGCCAGGGGTGGCCCCAGCCCCGAAGCAGGGGCCCGTGGGTGGGCCTAGCACCAGCGTTGGGTCTTCCATCTTTCATTCTCAGGCATGGGCCCATGACTTGAGCCCTGTGTTCTAGAGCAGCTGCTGTCAGGTACACGGCGCTGCCCACCCCAGCTGGGCACAGGACAGTGATGAAGCACTCCTGGAGCACTCCCGGGGGGCCTTGCCAGGGGCCGAGGGCAGCAGTGCCAGCCGTGAGCCTCAGGCAGCCCCTGCCTGGCTCAGCTAATGGGAGTGGGGAAGCTTAGGATGCTGGCACTGCCCGGCATGGCCTGCTAGAAGACTGTCACGGCTGCTTGGAGCGCGGCCCTCGCTGCCCCCTGCGCAATGCAGCCCGGCCAGCGGCAGCTGCCCGCAGGTTACCCGGGACCGTGTGAGTCACCAGCTGTCTCCCTCCCTCTGCCAGTCATGGGCCACGTCATCTCTAATGGCCTCATGCTCATCGGCACCGGAAGCACAGTGAGGCTGGACAAGGAGCTGGACCTGGCTGTGAAGACCATGGTGGAGATTTCAAAAACCCAGCCGCTGACACCCAGGGAAAAGCTGCATGTGGCCGCAGTGGAGACGTTTGCCAAGGGGTGAGGGTGCTCGGGGCGGTGCGGGGTGAGGCCACGACGTCCCAGGGATGGGGAAGGAGGCAGCTTGGAATGACCCGGCCCACCTCAGGGGATGCCTGGTTGAAGATCGCGTCCACCCAGGCTCTGCCTTGGCTAAGAGCCCAGAGAGGAAGCAGTTGGCTAGGACTCCCCATCTGGCATTCAGAGCTACTGAGTGTGCTTTGTTAAATATGTGGCTTATTATTTTAACTGCAAAACTGAAAGGATACATCCCAGAGATATCTTGAGGGAGGAGAAAACATTCACCCCTATGCTTCTTATCTTTCACACTGTACAAGTCAGCTTTCCCTCATGATCACAAAATACCCAAGGAGACCAGCTTATAAAGAGGAAAGGTTGGCTGGGCAGCGTGGTGCACACCTGTAATCCCAGCACTCAGAGGATGAAGCAGGAGGATCACTGCAAGTTCCAGACCAGCCTGGGCTACAAAGTGAGCTCAAGACCAGCCCGAGCTGCATAGCGAGACCCCGTCTCACTAAATAAATAAAAAGGTTCATTCTGGGTCTAGTCCACAGTTGCTTGGTCCTGCGGCACTTGGGGCTGTGGTGAGGCAGACGGCAGAAGAGGCTGCTCATGTCACCGCAGCTAGAAACAGGAAAATGGGAAGGGGCCGGGGTCGCAGGGTCCCTTTAGAGGCCCCTCCCCAGCGACCTGCTGCACACGTGCATGCACGCACACACACACATACACACACACTCCTCACTTTTTTCCATTGCTGTAGTTGAGCTCTCGGACTCCACCACTGAGCTATGTGCCCAGCTCCTGAGGTTTTTAAACTTGTTCAAGGCAGGTAACAGGAAGGCCCTCGTAGGTGTGGCCCTCGCACTGAGAATGTTCTCTCGGCTTCCAGGGACTTCCCGAAAGCCTGTGAGCTGTGGGAAGACATTCTCTGGGACCACCCGACAGACATGTTGGCCCTGAAGTTTGCCCACGACGGCTACTTTTACCTGGGCTACCTGGAGCAGATGCGAGATTCTGTGGCTCGAGTTTACCGCTTTTGGACACCTGACGTTCCCCTTAGCAGGTAAGTATTGGTGGGAAACCACATCATTTTTATTTTATTCTGTTTTCTGCCCTAAAACAGCCACTCCTTTGGTCCTGCCCTAAAAATATAGACTGTTGTTGTTTTTCTCCTAGTTCTTTAAAGATAAAAGGCCTTCTTTTCTTTTTGAGATGGGATTTTGCTATCTCTGGCTGGCCTTAAACTTACTATGTAGCTCAGGTAGGCTTGAACCCATGACAGTCCTCCTGCCTCTGCCTTCTGAGTGCTGAATCACAGGCGTATGCCACCACGCCAGCTAAAAGGCTGCCTTTTCTTCATTTGATTTTCATCTCATCTTGTGAATGAGGTAGCACCATTATGTATCAGCTAGGACAGGATTATTTTGCTGTAGAAACAAGCATCCCGGGCTGGTGAGATGGCTCAGTGGTCTAAAGCACCTACTTGGAACAAGCGTGGCAAAGCACAGGGACCGCGGTTCGATCCCCCAGCACCACATGCCAGCCAGCCCCGCCCCCTGGTGGGCTGAGCTGGACACACACACACACACACACACACACACACACACAATAAATAAATAAATGTTTAAAAAAAAAAAAAAGAAAAAAGAAACAAGCATCCCCTAGCTCTTGTGCTTCGATATTGCTTCAATGCTTATGACAGCAAAGATTTGTTTCTCCCCATGTTCCATGCTCATCTTGGGAGAACCACAGGCTCTGCAGCCATGACTGTGTCCCATTTGGGACCCTAGCTGGTGAGCAGTGGCCTCTGGACACTCCAGTTGCTATGAGGGAGAAGAGACCCTCCCTGAGGGACTCACAGTGGCAGTTCAGGACTCAGAATGAAAAGGACACCCTGTCGCTCTCCAGTCGTTGGCTGGAACTGACCACATGACCTGGTCCCTCCTACACGAGTAGAAAGTAGGGAGAGGAGGAGGAGGAGGCCTGCGATGCTGGGACAATGCTGGGACGGCAGTGACGGCAGTGTCATCGTAGCTCGCGAGGAGGTTCTGCAGAGGAATGGATGAAGGGGTGCGCCCGAGCTGGGCTCTCAGGAGAGACACAGAGGCTCTCTCCATCATTTTGTTGTAGTAGTGATACAGGAAAGTAAAACTGGTCTCGGGCGGGTGACCTCCAAACAATGCAGGGAACCTCCAAATGACATAGAGAAAAGCAGTCTCCCACCTGACCTGCGCGAGTTCGTGTTCTCTAAAAGCAAAGAATGAATTTTAGGAACAAATGGAGGTTATGAGCAGAATATATTTACTGAGAGAAAGAAAGCTCCTGTCCAAGAAAGGGACAGGAGGGGGCCCGAGCGGGTAGTTCACGGGGAAGCTGTCTCTTCCAGGGACTTTTATAGTGTAAAACCACGTGGGGCTAAGAGAATGGGAACTCGCTTAGGTGGGCAGGAGGTGGGACAAAACTATGGTCAGCCAATGGGATTACAAGCACCATTGCTCAGGTGAAATTGATTAAATCCAGTATCAAATGGGAAAGCGAGTCACGTAGCAAGCGGGCATGAATAGGGGACAGGGTCTTTCTGTTGGGGGTTGGAATGCGGGACAGGGTCTCTTTCTGTTGGGGGTTGGGCTAGTGACTCACTTGGGTCTTTCCAGGTGATTGATACCTATTTAGAATATCAGGGGCCGGGGAGATGGCTCAGTAGAATAAGTACTTCCCTGGCAAACACAAGGGTCTGAGTTCAATCCCC